GTATCTTTACTCAGACGATAAACGTGGCCGCCTCCTAATTCACGTGTAATTTTAGGTCCCGAATAAGAAAGTAAGACGATCTGGGGGACTATGGCTCTAGTTCACACGCAGGCTTGCACCATCAGTGCATGAGTTGTCCGGGTCTACTTAATGTCTTCTTAATTGCGTGAGCGAAATAGGGCTTTGCGAGAGTCATTTAACTTTCGACAACAGGTTCATAGAAACTCATCGCTCCACGTGATTTGAGCCCAATACTCTCAAATTAACCCGTGACTTTACAAATTAATCTTATAGCCGCAAGTCATAGCTTTTTATGCTTTTTACAGGTCATATACAATCACTTGTGGCAGCTTCGGACGAAGTTCGGAACGAAGTGGAAAAGTTCAAGAGCGCTTTTACATTAGCAGCAGACAAGGTGAATTTCTGAAGAAAGAGTAAAATAGGCCGTAAAGAAGACACTTAGCTGTTAAGTAATCAGCTGACAATAGCATGATAAAAAGAGAGGGGATAATTCATCATCGGCTTGCAAGGTTTTTGTTTTGTCCTGTCGATTGCAAGCCGTCTGAACGAATAGCGTTTCTGCAGCATAACCGCAGACTCAGAAAAATGAAATACAGAAAAAAGTCCTGTAACCTATCTAGGTGGAACAGTTAAACCCCGGCTCTGTAGAACTTATTTTCCATTGTCGACATCATTCATTGGTATCTAGACTTATGTAGAGGAATCGCAATAGGAACATAAACTGCGCTTTTTGAATGCAGTCTATGCCGAAGTTTGGTGGCCCCTTCATTCTCGAATGGCAACAGAATGCACGGCCTATCCGTGAACATCAACCAGCTCAAACTTCGTTCCGATTGGTAAGGGATAATCCGAAAAAAAAAACAACTTCAAGACATGTCTGGCTCATGATTTCTGTCTCAAATCAAGAATTTCGTTGATATAGTTGACCCCCTCGCTCAAGCTGTGGCGGAGTTCTGTATCTGCCCGTCACCTGATTTCTCCATAGCAAAATTTTTCCTTGTCAAATCGCTGTTTCGAAAAGTATAGGTCATGAAATGTCTTTGAACGTTGCCGAAGGGCTGGAGCAGACGAGTATTGCAATCACTTCGTTTGCTAGACTAGTACGCAGTTGTTCATATTTTTCACCTCCTTCGTTCTCTGAATTAAAGGCACAGTTCACGATAATTTTGGGTAACCCAGACTATGACGAAAAATAGAAGGTAAGATGGAAAATAGTGCGATGGAGGTGAAGGAACTGCGTGGATCGTTCTTTCCGAAGTGAAAAAAGGCTTCGAAAAATCGTTAAAAAGGGGGCTGGACGTGAATGAGACCAGAAGAATGAAGATGAGTGGGGTGTTCGGACGAGTTACGCACAGCGCGTCATTGAGTACACGTGGATCCTGGTGCAAATATCTGACTACGGTAAGCACAAATTCATCCGTTTGTAAGCATAAGTGAGCAAAAAAACCCTTGTTACAGCAAAAATGGCTCGCCTTTTTCAGCCTCTTGGGGTAGGAAAAAAAGGGATCGCGGTAGCAAAAAGAAAAACGGAGGAAAAAAGAACGGGAGAATAACATTTCCTCATCACTCGGCAATCAGCTGATTGTGTATGGGTCCTAGAACGAATATTCGCACCATCCATGGGGGCCACTAAGTATTCCTAAAGGAGGAACTCAGTAATTATTTTTATCGTGAACCGTGCCTTTTTAAAGAAGGACCAGAGATTGAGTATTTTCGCTCGTTTCTAATCAGCTCATCCATGCGCATTAGGTGAAGTGTGCTCATTGTTTTACCTTTTCAACAAGAAAAATAGATATAACAAATGTGGTGTATCATTGAATCTGGGTGAAGAAGGTGAAGTGTTTGAGAGCAAGTAAACTTCCTTACATCTACCCAATTGGCGAACTCAACTATAAGAAAGTTTTTAGTTGTTCAGTTTTCTTTTTTTCTGATATTTTAAAAGACGGTCATTTGTTAAGGCTGGCAAATCTTTGGTGTGCTTCGAACGTAATTACCGTACCCAACATCTTCAAGTACAAATGGTACCGATACCTAAAAGTTCCGTTAAAGCATTGCGTGGAGCATTTCTAAATGCGGCTAGTCTTGCTGGAATCGAACTGGTTGTGCTGGACCAAAGTGAGCAGGTACTCGAGTATTTCTTTTATATAACCGGTTCCTTCTTGAAAAGTTTGATAAATTTCTGGGCAAGTCAGTTGTCCATGAATGAAGTTGTTCGTGACTTCCAAATTCTTTTTAGAGGTATCATCGAACGCATTTTCCATTACATTTTATGTTAAATTGTAATGAACATGCAGTGCAAACTACCGACACACTCCTTCATCTGGATTCTTCTTTAATTAATTATAAATAGTTTTTCTACGACAGCCATTTATTCGTGGCCATAAGGATATGTCGCTCAAAACTTGATATTATGCAGTGCACGTTTGGGTTCAATCATGAAGAGGACCTCGAATTTTCTAAAAGAATGTGGCCGATTAGGTGGAGGGGTGTAGATCCATGTGAGCAACTATCACACAAATGGTCAAGGCCCGAGTCCCGGATCGATACTCACCCAGGCAACCAAACCTTCAACCTTCCATTCATCCACACTCCTAGGTACTAGACTTGTACAAGTTGTACATCTGATGGCCACTGTAGGGAGGGAGAGGGGGGTTCAAAGTCCACCTTCGTCGGTTGTGAAGATTTTGAACGCCTTTGGGCAGTAAAAAAGAAGCCGTTGTACATACTGCCTTTGCAGAAATCTTCAGCTTCTGATCACATCATGCGTATCTCATTCCAGCTAGGCGATCTTGTGAATGAGGGATGTCCGTACTTCTTCGTAGAGATGCCGGATGGATCACGGTTATTCACTCGACAAATGAAGAATTTTCCCTTGCAGTTTGCTAGAGAGGTACGACATCTCACTAGCTTTCAACTTCGATTAAACGAAAATTTCATTCCCTAATGTCAGAGTAGTCAAGGTGTCTAGCATTAGTCCTGCTCACTGGGCTGCGCTACGCATTCAAGATTCATTTTAAACTGCTGGAAATTACAATGTGTAGTTGTTGAAAGGTCTCTCGTGAAAGGGTTCCGAAGTATTCAAGTAAAAGACCTTCCCTCACGCCGTTTTAGCTAAAACTCGTCCAGTTCCCCGGTTGAGGAGAGTCCTGAGTTCAAGGTCCAAATATGAGCTGTGTGTATCGTCTACCTCCCTTTTACCCTACCCTAAAGATTATTCAATTGCCCTTCTCCCGTAGGGCGGTGGTGTAGTTGCAAGTGGCACACTATCTCACACGTACGATCAGGGGTTCAAATCCCGGATCGATACCCGCCTAGGCCAACCAAACCTTCCATCCCTCC